TTTTTCCAAAAATCATTTCTAGGTACATAAGTATCTATTTAATCAGAGAAACACCAAAAAAATTACGAGATTCAACCACTAGCTAGGAACGGTCATTCCCGTCGTTTTGACCGCATTTTGAAACGGGCATAAAAAATTCAAAAAAAATCAAAAAAATGGAAAACCTTCACATTGTGTCATTATATGTGGCCAAGTTCTCAGCAAAAATAACAAACTTGTAATACGGCAATTATTTTGAAAAAGTGTTCTCAGAAATGAGCTATCATGCATGAAGATTCATGGCTATCAAGCCAAATGATCAATTTTATGGCCACATTCATGGCATAGTTTGTTCAAATGATCTCATATTGTGAACAAAGGTGCATCTTGGAATCCCAAACAATGTTGCCTAGGGAGTTTTCATTTTCTTTGCACGGAAAATTCATTTTCCATTTTCCGAGTGCCCGAAATGAGGTTTTTTGTGAAGGGCCTACCATATATTTGTTGGAAAATTGTACCAAATCAATTTTCTGAAATACTAGGACATATTTAATGCACAATTGACCAAATGGTTGGGTGTAAAAAGTTTTGATCCATCTTTGGTGAAAAAGACAAAGTCCCGCCGATTCAGTAGGAAGCGGGTCAAATTTGAACTGTAGCTGCCTTACAGTTTGCTCTTTATTTTTTATAAAAATTATTTCTAGGTACATAAGTATCTATTTAATCAGAGAAACACCAAAAAAATCAAGATTCAACCACTAGCTAGGAACGGTCATTCCCGTCGTTTTGACCGCATTTTGAAACGGACATAAAAAATTCAAAAAAATGGAAAACCTTCGCATTGTGTCATTATATGTGGCCAAGTTCCCAGCAAAAATAATAAACTTGTAATACGGTAATTCTTTTAAAAAAGTGTTCTCAGAAATGAGCTATCATGCGTGAAGATTCATGCCTGTCAAGCCAAATGATCAATCTTATGGCCACATTCATGGCATAGTTTGTTCAAATGACCTCATATCGTGCACAAGGGTGCATCTTAGAATGACAAACAATGTTTCCTAAGGAAGTTTTTATTTTCTTTGCACGAAAAATTCATTTTCCATTTTTCCGAGTGCACAAAATGATTTTTTTGTGAAGGACCTACCATATATTTGTTGCAAAATTGGACCTAATCAATTTTATAAAATAATAAGCAATATATAATGCACAATTGACAAAATGGTTGGGTGTCGAAAGTTTTGATCCACCTCTGGTGAAAAAGACAAATTCCCGCTGATTCAGTAGGAAGCGGGTCAAATTTGAACTGCAGCTGCCTCATAGTTTGCTATTTATTTTTTTCCAAAAATCATTTCTAGTTACATAAGTACCTATTTAATCATAAATACATGGTATGGTGGCGAGACATCGAGGTTTGGACGGTGGCCGAGGGCCCCAACTCTAGAGCGCATACGCTCGCATGCCGCCGCGTGGTCACTGCGTGACCGTGGCACTGCCATGCGTTCTAGGCGGCCTATGCATGTCTAGTGGGTTGGGCACTCCCCAGGTAGGTGCTAGAAAGAAAATTATAACATAAGATTCTCATGAGGAGATCGAACTATGCTCAAACATGAATTAACAGCCAAGTGTTTGATTAGCGGTACGGGAAATGCACATGACCAATGGGTATGAGTTTTGGCTGAGGATGATCATATACTAAGAAGAATGTCTTCACAAATTTTTAGGGAAATCAAGAATATATAAATAACACTTCCTTCACAAAGTGTTGCTCTGAACAGAATATGAAAATAAATATTGTTGAGTTATTTTTGAACTAGGCAAAGAATTGTTTTTACATATTTGATGAAGATATGATCCAAAAAATTTATGAGAATTTTTTGGGAATTTTTGGAATAACAGAAATATAGGTTGCTTCACAACCTAGGGCAAAAATTGACACATGGACATGACACATAGGCAAAACTGATGAGATGATGCCTAGTCATCACAACCCACCACCATCTACAAGGCTATGACCATCTATATTGGTCGTTAACAACTAGAAATAAGGCAGCGGACCAGCACTGTTTGCTTTATAACCATTTCGTGTAAGGAAATTACGACCTTTCTGACCAAAATGGCCGCAATGGTTTAGGGTTTGGAGCCCTCCGAACAGCTTTTGACCAATTGGTCTCAAATGGTCATAGATCTATGACCAATTCTTCCAGGGTCACTGACAGAAGGTCACTAGTTGACATATTTCTTGTAGTGACATGTTGAACATTTCTTATATTGTAATAAACATTATTTTAAATACCAGAGCATTGTTTTTCAATGCATAAACATTGTTGTAAATGTGACAATTTTTATATAAAATGTGATAATATTTATTGAAAACTTCAGGTACATTTTTTAAATGATACCAAACATTTTTTTATATTACACTAACATTTTTTGACATTCAAGATTTTCACACACAGTTTATTGAAATGCAAGGACATTTTTCATTGCCACAAATAATATTTTGAATCTGTCAACAATTGTTTTACGTGAGCTGCATTTTTCAAGTTCATGGTTTTAATTTTTAAAAATAAATTTATGTCTTCATGACGTCAGAGTGAAATATTTTTCAATACATGTTCAATATTTTTCAAATAAACGATGTATATTTCTTAGTACACCCTCTGTTCTATAATATACATGTTGTAAACTATTTATATTGACAATACCAAATATATAAACCATGAAACTACTTCTTATAGTGAATCTAATGAGACATGCTTGGCACTCTAAATGTAAACATTTTTCTTCGAAAACTTGGTCAAAGTGTGTGAGGTTTTACTTTTCGAAAAATCTATGTTCACTGAATTATGGAATGAAGGGAGTACATGTTTTGAACACTTTTTTGAATACATGGTGATTTATTTTTCAAATACACGTTGAACGATTTTATATGGTCATAAACACTTTTCTAAAACTATGCAGGAATTTTTTTACATTGTATGAACATTTTTTAAATGCCACTAGAGTTGCATGCAATCTCTGGAACATTTCTTTAAAATGTTATGCACATTTTTTAATGGTACGAAACATTTTTTGTATACTATGCAAAACAATTTTTTACATTACATACATATTTCTCAAAAAAATGAAATCACATACATTTTCTGAAACACAGGAACATGATTTCATTTTCATGAACATATTTTAAAGCTATCGATTTTTTTAGTAGCGCTAACATTTTTTAAAATCATGGTTTTTGATTCTTTTTAAGTAAATTTAACATTTTGAAAATATATTCACTTAAAATACAAATAAAAAGAAAAAGGAAAAACATTGCGTGGCTTTGCCATGACATCGTCATGACGTCGGCATGGCGAACACACTTCCTTACTGAGCCGACCTATCACCGGCTCCTGTAAGGGTGCACGCCGGCGAGGCTGGCTACTACTTCGTATTAAGCGAGGCATAGTCGCCCCTTATGGCTGTATTATTTCCTACTTTGCATCAGCACACGGGCCGGTGTTGTTCCTTGCTTCTGCGCCACTTCTTCTGTCATGACATCGACTGTGCCGTGCGTTGTTGTAAGGGCATATATGGCTGGACAGGACAAATTCAACCCTCAAATGTCCGTGGACGCGTCTGCTCAGTGTTCAGGCGTGTCAGTTTTGAGCCCTTATTTATTCGTGCGAACAGTCATGCTCTTTACTTTTCTCACTATATGTCTGGTCACATGTATGTGATTAATGGGATGGAGAAAAAAATAATTAAAAGGAGAAAATGTGGTCCCGTGATGGCCAAATCCTATGTGGCACTCTGACTGGACGTGCCTAGGTATCCTCATATCCCCTCCATATATGAGCTAGGTATAAGGGTTTGTGAACTGTGCGAACATATCAGGATGAAGTGTTGTCTCGAACATTTAGGGAGAATTTAAGCGGGCAGGTTGTAGATTCTCTAAGGCTAGTCATTGGGGAGTACTTAAATTAGTAACATGCATATGTTACTAGTTAGGGGATAGTATCATAGATATGATAACATATAGAACTTCATTTCTTACTTTGTAGAGTCATTTTACATTGAGACCCGCTATGTGATGGTAACATATTATGTTACTTTATTTGCATATCTCCTCATTAATTACTTGTCACATTAATTTTTTGCCTATGTGACATGCATGTTCCTACTTATGTTACTCCTATGAGCAGCCTAATAGAGAGCCACCATCTACATGTGGTGGAGGTTTCGAAAGCGAGCCACGGAACACGGCAGCAGACGGATAATCTCGCAAGCCGTAAATCATAATCTCTCCTTCCGGAACAAAGTGCAAACCTAGAATTAGGCACCTTAATGAATGCAAGCGCGCGAGCATCCTTAGATCATCGCGCTCTAGCCTGCAAACCGTGATCTCTATAAAAACAAGGTATGGGAGTCGAACCATTAATTGGGGGAGGCTGATAAACAAGGGCACTTTCATTTTATTCTTAAAGGAACCATCTGGCATTGGTAATGGACTGGGCAGACAAGCTAGAAAGTCCATCAGAGAACCGAGTCCACAGTGAATTGTCAGACACACAATACTACAGTACTTCCTACTATGCATTTGTGTAAAGCTTCTTGTAATGCCGCATCAATGCATTGGTGGAAAGACTATCTTATGCTTAATGCTCTAAAAAACAACTAAACCTCAAATAAGAGCCTCTACAAGGCCTGCGGAGCATTAGCTTAAATCAACAGTCTCCAGTGTTGAAAGTAAGAATGGTAACCTCGGGCGCCTCTAGTGTTGTTTGGTGCCTTGCCTAACCAACAAACAGTGTAGTCACCTCTAGTCTAGTGAATGCAATCCTTGGAGAAGCTCACAATGAGTCATCAAAATAATCATCATACAAGATGAAGTTTCACAAACAATTCAAGTACATGTGAATGAATATTAATTCGATATTTAAGGACAAATATATAACAACCCATAGATGGAAGGAAATAAAATGATCACCATGATTGCCTCCAGGGCACATCTCCAATGTCGTAGCCTCACATCAAGTACTCTACTTACTCGGCTCGACCGATGATTCGTTGTATTCATCGACGATAACAGAAGGGAGGCTTCCAATCTTGCTTGCAAGTCGTTTGATCTCCTCGGCTGCCTTAGGTGCCTTGCTGCTGACTGTGAGGAACACCTGTCGGAGGCTTGCAAGATTTTCCAGGCCGTGAACACCCTCGGAAATTCTGAACCTCAGCTCAAGCCTCTGGAGCACTGGCATGGCCCCTCCGAGGAAACTCAGAGGTGGCAGCATTATTGCCACAAAGCGCAATAGTTTAAGCTTTTCAAACCCACCGGGCAGCACAAATATCTCCCCTCCCGACTCCGATGTATTCTGATCTATAATTTTGAGAACGCTTGGATCGTTTGTTGCATCGATTGAAAAAATAAGGGAGAACAGCTGAGGCAGCTTACCAAGATCTTTCAATGTCCCTTTCTTGAGTGAAGTTAACGACAAAGTTAGCTTTCCAAGGCTATGCAGACGTTCAATCCACTGGGGCAGTTTTCGCAACATTCCAGAAAGCTCGAGGGTGTGCAGGTGCTCTGGCGGTGCTTTTGAAGAGCTGAATGAATTTTCAAGAAAGCCGGTGAAACCATCGTCAATTGCCAGAAACTTGAGGGAGCAGCTGCTCAGGTGCTCAATGGCAGAGAGCAATGATTCCTCATTTGCCTTTTCAAGCATTCCAATTATGTAAAGGCTAAGTTTCTTCAGGTTGGTGAGCTTCTCCAAGGATTGAATCACTTCTTTAGATGTGCCGCTGGTAGCTGCCTTGAATATACCCGTCTTGCCTTGATTAGACCTTGATCTTCCATATATTCCTACACCAGATAGTGTCTCAAGAGCTGTCATGTTTGTCATTTCTTCTGTTAATGTAACTGCCATCTTCTTGCTTTTATTGCCAGTAAGAAGATGGGTCATTTGCTTAAGCTGCTTAACTGATTTTGGCAATTGTCTGACTTTTGTCTCCCTAATGTCAAGCACCTCCGAATATTCCAGCATACCTATTTGGGATGGTATTTCTCCAATGTCTGTACGACGCAGGCTCAGGTACTTCAACTGATGCATTTTGCATATTTTGTCGAGCCGATGGGAGGACAAGTCCCTGCAACTTTCAAGATCCAGAACTTGTAATATCTGAAACTTCAGCAAACAAGAGTGCAGTTCTTTGAAGCTCTCAAATGCCGTCAAGGACCGGACATGCGATAGTTTCATCCTCTGTACTGTTTCTTTTTCATCACTTCTCTGGACAGACAACCTGCGTACCTTATAGCTTGGGAACGGTGTCTGCCAGTGACCACCCACTACTGTGATGAAATTCTCGGTGCTTGACTTGGAAACAATGTATTCAAGAACCATGTCATGAATCTGATAGTTCTTAACCTTTCCGTTGCTGCTGTTGCTGACTGCCCGAATCAAGTTCCGGACAATCAGTTCATTGAAGCAGTCTTCGGCAACTTCCTCCACAGTCTTGCCATGCTTCTCAATAATGAACCCTTCTGATATCCATCTTCTGATCAAACGCTTTCGACTGATAGAGCGTCCCTTCGGAAACATGCTCATGTACAACAAGCAGGTCTTCAGATCGGCCGGCAAATCAGTGTAGCACCTCTCAAGTATTTTTGTTACACCTTGAGTGGTGAGGTTAGTTTCCAGCTCTCCACTCAAAGCATTGGCAACTTCAGGCAAATAGTGATCTAAAGTTGACGCACTAGGTCCTGAGCTCAGTTTACTAGCAACAAGCCCAGCTACCACAGTTATCACCAAAGGCAAACCCCCACATTTTTTCAAAACATCTGATGCAACATCTGTGGGGTGATGGGGAGCATTGGGGATTATTTGATGAAACAAATTGTAGGATTTCTTTTTATCAAGCGGTTTGTGCTCATAAGGAAACCCATTTTGACGACAGCAGGCCACAGCTACAGATTTAAACCTTGTTGTCACCACTACTCTACCACCCTTGGAACTATCTGGTAGAGAATCGTTAATCTTTTCCCATGCCGATACGGACCAGATGTCATCTATCAAGATAAGGTACCTACACATAATTTAATTTAGAGATGAACTAATATTATAGAAGTGACATAAACATATAGATATAGCGCCAGGAACTGACTCAAGATAGTTTAAAGTGCCCGTTTGCTCATGAAGCTAAAATTAGTAGGCAAACCACATCAAGATCAAATAAAATCACATTATTATTATATTTTCTAATAGTAAGTATATATCCGTACCACTCATTCCAAATTGCTCATTTATGTAAGCTTGAATTACAATATGACGCCGCAGGATTAATGATTTGGTGTGTATTACAAAATATGAAAGAATTCAGTTCAATATATGAAAGGACTAACCAGACATACAATGTTTTTAGAGAAAAATGAAATGGAAATTAGTGGAGCCAAAATTATACCTCTTATCTTCTAATTGGCGAGCGAGCATCTTTTTGAGAGGGATTTCTTCCAATTCCTCAACTCTGACAGACAAATCATCGTGAGCCTGCTGCTCACGGAACTGAATGAAAAGGCTCTTCAGAAGCATTAGCAGATCGAACTTCTGCGACACCTGCACGAACGCTCTGCAGTCAAATCCATCTCCGAACTTGCGGTACAACTCCAGGGCGAGCGTGGTCTTCCCGAGGCCACCAAATCCATCAATGGCAAGGAACCTCTTGGGTATTATCTGATTCCCCTCTTGAAACCATTCCCCAAGCTCGCCCATGGCATCCTCTACCCCCACAGGCTGCTTGGTACCAATGAGCTCAGGAGGGGTTACACGGTCTGTGGGAGCGTCGTCTTCCTCGGTCTGGCTGCCTGTAAGGTTCTCCACCCCATACCTGGTGCGCCGGTCGCTGACGTGCTGCGCCCGGATCTTGAGGTTGCGGATGTCGGCAGCGATGCAGCGGCGGGCATAGAGCTTTTTGAGGAGGTACCACTTCTTCCGGAGGTAAATCAGCTTGCCGTTCCCGCGGGGCTCGTGGCCGAGCCGGTGGTTGACGTCGTCGATGCAATCCTCGATATCATACGACACCTCCTGCACCTGCTTCATCCAGTCATGCCTCTGATCGTCGTGGCCGGCTGCTCGCTTGGTCTTGTTGATGAAGGCTTGCATGCTCGCCAGCTCGTCGTTGATGTACTGGATGTCGTCGTGGACGCCCTGGATTAGGGTGTACTCCTGGGCGAGGAGGCTTCCCAGCTTGCCGACGAGTGATTTCACGGCGTTGCTTGAAGCGCCGACGACGAGGTCCATCCTCGGTTCACTCTTGTTACTTGCTCTCCCAACAGGAGTCTTTGGCTTGCCTGCAGGCTACTGTGACGAAGAAAAAAGAGTGATGTGTACATGTGTTCTTAAAAAAGAGAGTATGAAGCTAGTGCAACGCCGCAAAAGGTGGTTCCAACGCATATTAGATTTGTATATGCAAGAAGTTTTCCAATATTTCGGATCATATTTTGATCTTGTATATATGACTAACACAATATAGGGTATATGCCATAAAAAGTATACTATTAGATTTGTATATGCAAGAAGTTTTCCAACGCATAATTAGTGTGACATATAGTCATATTTATGATTTACATCTATGGTAGTATGCCTAATAAACCGGGACTGGCGAAGTATTTGTTTATTGAAAAGGAGTAATTGCTTGGATGCTACAAACTATAAATTTCATTTTTAACTTATTTTATATAATTTATTGGTTAAATCGGTGGTCAAAGTTAGTCTCATAATCGGTGGCTATCAGTAGGGACAAAGTACAGTAATTTTGTATGTCAGGGATCGTACGTCACCCGCACTTAATAATTCATCGTTTTAATTATATATAAGCACACCATTGAACCACCAGGTCGTGCTGTGTGGTAGACTACCTGCTCTTGGCTGGATCTTAGTTATAGCACTCTCCAGTTGGGTAGTTTTTTAAGGAGTGGTGACACTTGGATCTGTCTCAAGCATTAGTATATATACAATTAAGAGCAACTTGTGTGTTATTAATTGTTTTTTAAATTATTACCTACGAGACCAAACATGTAGTACCACAAGTTGGTATATAAACAGGTGAAAACAAATTCACCAGCTGGTATTTTGAAGGTGCAGATGTATTTGGTGGTCGCCGGCATTGGAGAAGGTGATTTGGAGGGATGCCCAGGCGCCCAGCACGGTGGCGAAGTTAAGGTGTAATTAGTTAATGATGCATAAAATGAGGAAACAGTAAAATAGGAATTCTTGAACTTCAAGCAAAGGTACATAACCATTAATTAGTCAACAGAAGCAAGAGCAACTTATTTGTTAGGGACTTAGGGCATCTAAAATGGTTGACAGGTTGATTTATTTTTAAGTATTGTATGTCATTTAAGAACAGAAAAATATTTAAATATACAATGGATTATCTTACTATTATCTCTAACAATTAATGTTTGTATGTTTCTAAATTAAAGAAATAATTAAAATTTAACTTGAAGATGTGTGATTGAGAGAAGACAACTCGTCTAACGAAGAAAAATACCATATCTTTCTTTTGCTAGAAGATTATCATTTTTCTAAGAGATATCAAACCTAATTTTCCGTTTCTTTTTCTTCCATCTCAACAACCTTCTGCTGGCATTGTACAGATAGCACCATTATACTGTCCTTAGTTTCCTACTCCCTTTGTTCCTAAATATTTGTTTTCTTAGAGATTTCAAATGGACTACCACATATGAATATATATAGACATATTTTAGAGTGTAGATTCACTAATTTTGCTCTGTATGTAGTCACTTGTTGAAATATCTAGAAAGACAAATATTTAAGAACGGAGTGAGTACAGAACAAACATGTACGACAAGATGAACAGCCTGGTCCTGTCCAACGTAGTCCAATTATGCAAAGATAGCTAGTAACTAAACTACTAGTGGAGGTCGTTGTAGATTATACAAATGTGTATATGTACCGTACCATAGATACCCCCTACGAGTCGTTGTGTGGCCATATGACAGATATGTATATATACACTGTACAGTTGGCATCTACTCCCTCCGTTCCAAAATAGACGACCCAATTTTGTACTAACTTTAGTATAAAGTTGGGTCATCTATTTTGGAACGGAGGGAGTAGCTACTAACAGGTCATGGCGTGGTAGGCTACTTGCTCTTGGCTGGATCTTAGTTATCTTACTCTGCAATTGGTTAGTTATTTAAAGAGTGCTGACTAGCACAAGACTCGGATCTGACTCAACAAATGGAGGAAATGTGCAGAACCATTCATTGGTATATATACAATTAAGAGCAAGTGGCGTGTTACCCTACGATACAAAACACGTATTACGACAAGTCGGTCCCTGTCCAAATATACAAAAGATAGGTTAGGCTGGTCACAATGGGCAAGAACATAAGCTAGTAACTTACACACTTTCCTAAACTATGTTACTACCTCCATAGTGGGTAGGAACATCTATGTAGTGTCATGCAACGATGTATTTATTAGGTTATAGACTCATTGTTTTCTGGAGTGTGATGTTCCGGTAACTTAGCTAGTTACCACAAGCACCTCTCTCTTCATTAAATACGTGCCACATAAGCAAAGTTGTATTGGAGTGTGTGATGTTACTCCTAAGTTCCTCCCCACTGTGACCAGCCTTATAGCTAAACCACTAGTGTAGGTTGTTGTACCTTATTAATGTTTTTTGGTGCCATGCAATTTTGATAAAGGTGGTACATAATAAGGGAAGAAAGAGATGGTTGACTATCATACACTTCCGGCCGGTGAAAAGTGTACATATAGAAGTTTTAGGAGAAATTATGGAGTGGAGTAAAAAATGCATTGGAAAGTTGCAAACCACCATCTCTCTCCTCTTTAATTACCCAACATCCAATGAGCTAAGTGCATGTAGAAATTAATGAGATCATGTGTATAATGTTAGGGCATGTACAATGGTTGATAATATAGTCTTATCTTAAGTCTTGCATGTAATTTAGAGATAATAAAAAAAGATGTCTACAATGGGTCATCTCCTTAGCCTTATCTTTAATAACTAACTATTCCTAAAAATATGGTGAGACATATTATGCTAAGAGATCATCTCTTGTCTTCTCTTAAATAAGAGAAGACAAGCCTTTTCTTATGTGTTCTCTCTGCTCCACCTCATCATTTATCCTACATGGCACTACTAAGACATCACCATTGTACATGCCCTTATTTGTCTTGATTATCGTGTGATGAGAAGCTTTTTGTTCTACTTTAAAGTGCATTTTGAAGATAGAAGTACATTCTTTTGTGGAAATTTTTTAAGCCAAACATACACTCTTCATCGGATGAAGGGAGTATTATAATACCGTATCATAATAAATGATATAGTGCTATGTGTCATGCATGACAAAAAACAAGATACTATGCGCACTATGTAGATCATATGCATGACACTAATATATGACACTCCCTACTACAAGTAACCTCATGTCAGGATAAGATAACCTGCAGCTAATATGCATGACATGTTAATTAGTACATAAGTAAGCAATGAGGTCAACCTCATATAGTCGGTTTTCTTTGTCAAGTACTACCTCCGTCTGAAAAACTTCTCCCAAACTTGTTCCTCAAATGGATGTATCTAGCACTAATTTGATGCTAGATACATCCATTTGAGAGACAAGCTTTTCCGGACGGAGGGAGTAACTTGTAGCCTACGGTTGTAAGTAAGCCAATACAAAGTAAGAAGTATTCAACTTCAATTAAGAAAGCTTCAAATCCTAGTACTACTTGTACGTGTGTGCATGTTAATACACTCTGCTCAACACCCCTAACACTCGCAGCTCGACTCCTAGTAGTCACAGCTCAACATTCACAACAGTTTGGGCTAACAATTGACATCAGAGTCTTGTTTTAGTGGGCATGCTGCACGTGGTCCTGACAATGAAAATGACCGGGCACATGTCGGTATTGTGGCAGGAAGGGCCATTGGGCCTGTGGGTGCCGTAAGAAGCAACTTGATGAGGCAGCCATAGCGGCGGCGTACCTCATCCAAGACGAGGAGGACGATGGGTCAGCAATGACAACGGCGTGCACCGAGATCGTGCAAGAGGGCATAGAGCCTCCAACGACCACGATGTGACAACCATCATGACCATGTAGGAGGGCACAACGCCTCCAGCGACCACCGTGCTGGCAACCACCGAGTCCGTGCAGAAGGCACGGAGCTCTATAGTAGGTACCGCCTCAACCATGGTAGGCCACTCCTCCACCACAACGTGCTCGGGTCCTATTTACCGGGTGGCGCCGAAGAGACGGTCATGGGGTGGCAAGGCTCCACCGCGACATAGGTGTCCTTCTGCACTACTACCGCGACACAGTCACTACAAGAGAAAAGCAAAAATTACACTATTCACATGTAAATTTCTCTGAGGGTATATTACGAGTTTGGATCTGAAATTTTTACAGGTCGTAGACACATGTCTTGTATACATCCACAAGAAATTACAGAATTTTTAAAAACATTTGAAATTGGCTTTTTAGACATTTGAGCATGGGAACACCTAGATGTTGGGAACACTAGATGCAAGTCCACGCATTGTCCAACCTCTGAAACGAACGGAAGGCCTACGGGACGTCCTTTGCCTAATAAATTTAGAATACATATAGTCTTTGTCCTTTTCACTCATTGATTGGCATTATAGTACTAACCACTATTACAAAGTTATTGTCACTTGCAGAGTAAGACAAGTATGATGTCGAAGACAGCTACCTCACACTAGCTGACTCCATGTTACTCCATGTTATGTTTTTTCCTTTTATGCCGAATACTCCATGTTACGTATAATAGACAAATGATAATTAAGTCAAATGTAATAAATTGATATGGTATGCTTGTTGTATTCTATGTCTTGCTGTCGCAATAGAATTATACCTAGCTGTCATAAAGAAAACTGTTCATAGGTTTACATTGACCCATCCGCTTAGGGTTCAAGAAAAAGGCCTAGGTTCCTCTACCTTCCGCCGGCGCCGATCTGTCTCGTCTCCGGTGGTCTTAGAGCCATGGGGGCATGGTGGATCTCGGCCCTTATCTGCGGGAGGGTTTCGTTTTTACATCTTTCATTGAATTTTGTTAGGGTTTGTGTCCTGCTCAGGAAGACGAGACAGCGACGGCTTCCTAAAGATAGAATAAAATTTGTTTACATCTATGGTAGTCTGCCTAACAAACCGGGACAGACGAAGTATTTGTTTACTGGAAAGGAGTAATTGCTTCGATGCTACAAACGTACTCCTTCCGTTCGGAATTA